TTTGAAGCAAAGTATGAGGTCAGTCTAACCCAAATACCAAACATGTTTCTCAGTATGAAATTTAAAGTTTCCATCAGAAATACAAAAATCTTGGAAAGAGATTGAGCATATGTTTACACCGGTGCCAGAGCTATTTTAAAACACAAATGAAGAATTGCCAAATAGTTACAATAAGTTTCTTTGTTTTTGGAAATTATCTTTAGAAACTATCCTGAATATATTATTAACGTACTTCAAAATCATGCAGTTAAAACAAACAGAACACAAGTATACAGTATGATTCTCATCCAGAATCTTTCTTCCAATAAGAAGCTTCCTTTGAAGGTATAGATGTTCCACTCATGGAAAACATATAGATATGAGAAGGAAATTTCCACAGGAAAGAGTACATTAACACAACAATCTGTTCAGTTTATCTTTTCACAATGAGCATGCCCTGATCATAGAAAGAAAATAAACCAACATCCCTCTCCTCCTTTCCCTTTCTTGTCTTCTGCATTTAGATGGGACAATCTGGAACTATGTCAATTGATAAGGAACTTGTCATCAAAACTCTTGTAATAGAAAATCTTCGTCTATTCTCTGGAAACTCTTAGGACAAAGATGTGTCATTCTTTGATTTTCTGAATACATTCTCTTAAAACTGGGGAAACTGAAGGGGCAAATTCTCCTCTCTATGTCCCATGAACAAATAACAGAGGCTAACTGTTGGGTCAGGAGCTCAAATGTTTGCTATAAGAAATGCCTTCTGTGGACCTAACATTTGGGCACACCATCTTTCCTCCTACCACTTCCCAGGACTTTTTAAAATAAATACTTCCTTTTCAACAGCAAAATGTCATAGTGCTTCCTGGCAACTGTCACATCATACCCTCCAGCTAAGGTTTGTGTCCCTCAATCTATTCCAATAATGACTTCAAATCAGAAACACAGTGTCTCTCACTCTCCTACTTTTGATTTGTCCAATTTGTTCCCTTTAAAATATCTCATCTTTTTTCTCCAAGTAAATGACAAAAATGCAAAATGCTATCCATTCTGTACTTTGGTAACTCTGGGACAGTCTAATCGAAACAATTATAAATATTTAGAGGACTCAGGTATTACTGAAATGCATAGACATGACTCAAATATATACAAGAATGAGGAAAAGGGGTCCTTCAAATGTTATAATTTATTTCAGCTTCAGAAATACAGCTTCACATTTTCACAATAGGTACATGTGACCTTCCAGAATGATACAGGCTTTAGGACTTTGCTTCAAAAATTCCATTCAAAGAGTCCATATATCAGCATTAAGAAATCCTGAAAGTGCCAAGAAGACAGTGGAAAGTATCTGGCTCATGTTAATTAAAGAATCAACAGAGAAGACAAGATTTTGCTTCTGTATATTCCTTCTTCAAAAAAAGCAAAAGAGAATTTTGACCCAAAAAAGGGAAAGTAAAAATAGACGAGCAAGCAAAACAAAGGCTGTACACAGGAATTATAACACAAATCAAGTAATAGTGTGGAATTGCTGATTGGAGGGAATAATTTTTAACAAATTGGTAGCAGACAATGCAAGAGGTTAGAGTAATTTTTTATCATAATTTTAAAAAATTACATAATGAGCAAAGTTTAAGGAATTCAAGGGTAAAATTAAAAAGAGATTAATGACTTGAGCTGAGCCATGTGTGAAACCTTTGACCAGAGATGAGAAGTATCACCAATATACCAGTATGAACAGGTCTTAAGACAAACAGAAGACTCTTCCTTGAGTTTCCTCTCTCTTGCTCTCATACATACACACACTCTTACATGCATACAAAGACACACACACACGCAAATAGCAATGCAAATATTACATATGCTTCAAAAATATTCTTAAAGTTTCACATACACAGCACCACATAATTTTAAACATACCAACTAGACAGGATGACTAAGGTTATCTAGGAGACACATTTGAGCCTTTTAGAATGTAATGAGCGATCTGGTGAACTAATAATCATTTCTCCAAAATCATCTAGATTCATTTACATTAAACTCTGAGCTCACAGATAGTAGTCCTCTAAGTGAAATGACACAAAACTCATAGCTTAAGTCTTATACACTATCATCTTTCATGAGTTCAGCAGTTACAGACTTATTAGGCTTTATTCTTCATTTTGAGGCAATTCCTATCGCTTTCAAATAATTATGCCATTTGCCAAATGAAAAATATTTACCTGAAAAACTAGATGACCTACCTCCCAGGTATTAGATAGCTTCTCCCTTACAGTTTTAGCAAATTTACTCAGAAAAATATACTACTTTCATGTTGCTGTATCCCTTTATTATTATTTTTTTACTTCTACCATAGAGAAAAAATGACTATGTAGATCAATTTAGCTTTTTAAGATTCAGCTCAGCAATCCAAAAATAATTTGTAGTTCCAATTAGAGATCTTAAAGCTAGGTCTCCAGAGGTTTTACTTCTTATCCAAAAATATTGGTGATTCCTTCTTAGATAGAAGTGCTTCAGATTCAGATACAAATGTCTATGGATATTGCCATGTTGTCATGGAACTTATGAGCTTTGTGCCCCTCAAAATGACTACAATCTAGAGTTAGAAAATTTTATATACCTCATGTTATGAGAAATGAACCATTGTTGTCACGTGTTATGGCAGATCATCCAAAGCTAGCTGCTGTATTAACACAGTTTTAAAAATATACTGATACCACACATACTAAGTACATGTATACATAGATATTTACAATCATACATATACATATATTTATATATATACACACAATGCACATACAATCACACTCATGCTTGTGACATTTTAACAAGTATTTTTAAACCTACCTACTCAAATGGACATAAAATACACGTACTTACAGAAACATACTTACTAGGTATATACCATATACACAGAGACACATGCATAGAAAATGTGTTTGTACACCGAAGACATCAACATTTATCACATACTGGTATTAGGTCCCATTTCATATTTGAGAATTATGGCTACAGTCTATACTAAAAAGTCACAAAATTAATCTATGTGACCACTTTTTACTTCTAAGTCCAGAAGGCTTATAGTTACATCACAGGAACTGGTTTCATTAATATACTTTAGAGTAAAGTGAGTTTGTATTGGAACAAATAGGAAATTTGCTAATAAACAGACTCTACTGCTCGTCGATGTTATAAAACACACCTAAAAACAATAGTCAGACGAGTAACCTTGGTAGATGATTTTTAGAAATACAATATACCTGTTCTAAATCAATACTATTTCAATAATCTGTCCATAATTGAGTAAATGGTTATTCCAATTAGTCAATATGCATGCAATAATTAGCATGTGACAATAAAACTGTATTTACCTATCAAATAAACATTTACAGTTTATTTTCCCAAATCCTAAAAACACTTTTTTTTAAAATTTTTATTATGCTAGACATGATAGAGCTACATCTATGGTGTTTACAATATCAGAGCAATCAGTTAAGAGGAAATTACACAAAAGATTAGAAATGGTATGGGAAACAGAAAGCTCATTAAGCTACATTCCCATCTTAAGGCCTGGTGTGCATGCTGCACGTCAAACTATGCACATCCTAGAGTTTCAGACTTCATTCAACACTGGCATCTCTTTTTAGCAGAATACAAACCCTTTGGGAAATGAGATCCATACTAATAATATGACATTGTACTGCAGCCAACTAAAAATATTCTCCAATGTCACTGCTGAAGTTCTACGGTAGGCTGGGTTCTATTAGAAATAACTTAGGGAGAAAGAACAAAAAAATGTACCCACAAAGGGAGACAATTGGGACAGTGCAACTGTGGGACTATAATCTAAAAACAAATGCCAAAGATTACAAATGCCATTGTTTATTACTGCCTAAGATCAGTGGAAAGAAAATTGGAAAAAAATCTCCAATTTTTTTTGACATGGTTTGTGCTGATCTAAGAACACACCAGTGGTTATTCACAATATTTTCCTCTAACGGAAGGAAAATTTTGAAATACAGCAATACGCAAAACCACATTTAGCACAAAGCCAAACCCTGAAGTATATAATCCGTTAGCTGCCTATTTTAGCGAATTCAAAGGAAGAAGCAAAGGGAATCCTAAAAACAAGAAATTTTATAAAAAGATCTCACTGAAGATTATTTGTTTTACTATGGAAGTTTGCTTAACATTTTTCCATTTAGCTGAGACAGTATTTTTTTAAATATGCTATGTATCTTGTGCATTGGTTCCATTCACAAAGAGTTAACTTTTTTTCCCCAGTTTGGGGTTGGTGGTGAGATACAATAGGATTTAGGATTGTGATGTCTTTATACAATCACTTATAACCTTAAAAGTTGAAATGCCGCTCTTTCCCTGCCGCCGCCGAGTGGTGCGGAGGCGGAGGCTTGGGTGCGTTCAAGATTCCGCTTCACCCGTAACCCACCGCCATGGCCGAGGAAGGCATTGCTGCTGGAGGTGTAATGGACGTTAATACTGCTTTACAAGAGGTGCTGAAGACCGCCCTCATCCACGATGGCCTAGCACGTGGAATTCGCGAAGCTGCCAAAACCTTAGACAAGCGCCAAGCCCATCTTTGTGTGCTTGCATCCAATTGTGATGAGCCTATGTATGTCAAGTTGGTGGAGGCCCTTTGTGCTGAACACCAGATCAACCTAATTAAGGTTGACGACAACAAGAAACTAGGGGAATGGGTAGGCCTCTGTAAAATTGACAGAGAGGGGAAGCCCCGGAAAGTGGTTGGTTGCAGTTGTGTAGTAGTTAAGGACTATGGCAAGGAGTCTCAGGCCAAGGATGTCATCGAAGAGTACTTCAAATGCAAGAA